CTAGATTGTGATACCCACAACGAATACTATCTTACACTACAAGTAACTCTATTGACTTCAACGGGATCTTGTGGTGTAAGAGTTAATGTAAATAAGGGTATTACAATAGAAGTTAAAATGCAGCTAAGATTTATTTTGAGATATAGATTTCTAGTTGCCCCTCCTATGTGCAAATATACACCTCTACCCCGATATAACGCGACCCAATATAACATGAATTCAGATAGAACGCGGTAAAGCAGTGCTCCAGGGGAGTGGGGCTGCGCACTCTGGCGGATCAAAGCAAGTTCGATATAACGCGGTTTCACCTATAACACAGTAAGATTTTTTGGCTCCCGAGGACAGCGTTATATCGGGGTAGAGGTGTATTTTAATAGTATTTGGAGAAAATTGCGTTCTGTGTGTGTGAGGAAATATATTTTTTTAAATGTTTTATGAGTTTTAAAAGTTTCGTCAATCATTCAACCTCTCTGGATATGCTGCACATATTAATGTTGGGCTCATCGTAATGACGTTCAATTCGTGAAAAAGTGAAGCAAATTTAAAAAGACAACTGAAGTGCCTAAAGTCTTCATTTGAGGCAGCAAATGCATCTTCCAAGTCGCAAGCACAAACTGCATTATACTTGCTCCAGATTTATCTTCCACACCAGTTCACTTTCAAATCTTTTGGTGTACTAGAGTGGAAAGAAATGAAGATAAAAAGGAAAACATAAAAGAGGGAAGATAGTGGTATTTTTAATAGAAATGTTTGTAGTGAAATTTAAAGAGAATAAAAATGAGTAAGGAGGAGAAAAAATATATATATTTGCCCATTCAGATTTTATTCATTTTCTCATGTTACCTGGAAGCTTTTGGGGTCACAAGAAAATAACTACAGCAAATTTAACTGTGGAGTTACTGTGCTACCCTGTTGTGAAACTTTCGCTACTGTGGATAAATTGTCACAACTTACTGAATTCTTCTGCAAAAAAGAATACTGAGAATGAGTGCAGCAGAGCATCTGGCCCACAGGAATCAAAAGCGTTGGGGAAGTCTTTTGATTAGATGAACATTTCTTAAACCTCTCTGTTATATTTTTTTTTAAATAGTTCAGTTTATCATCTTGTACTCAAACAGCTAAAAGCCATCTCTCTCTCGGCACTGCACCTGAAGCCTTAAGGTGATTATAAAGGGTAAAACTCATCCCTTTGAAGAGACCCAGCATAAAGTCTATGCAGCACTTCACTCCTATTTAGATCTTCAAAATCAGGCTTAAATTCTGTGTAGGCTTTGTGCTGGGCCCCTATGCGCAGGGATGCAGTACTGCCAACCTCAAGCATTCAAAAACCATGAGTCAAGCCCTAATTAGTCATGAGGTTTGCTTAAAAATAATCAGATTTAAAAATAATAATAATAATAATAATAATAATAAATGCTGGGTTTTTCTTTTGCCTTGGTTTTAAGCCTTTGTGTTAACATTTTCAAGATTTTTCTCCACAACCATGAGGGCTAGCGCGATGGGATGTGTAAACCCCACACTGGCACTGAAGGGGTTAAGGAGCATCTCTGGGCCCAGGTGACCCCGCCCATCCCCACGTACGGCGCATGCTCCAGCTGGAAGAGGCGCTTAATAGGGAGCCAGACAGCTCAGAAACATTCTGACAGGGCGGGGAGAGCGACCAATCCTGAGAGCTTCAGAAACCTTTCCTGGGGAGATTCTGCCTGCCTGCTAAGCCCAGAGGGATAGAAGGTTTGGTTACTCTCTTCTTCTTTACTACTTTGTGTCATGCCCTGTAAGAATGTGGCAGGGTGGTGGGTGGTAGGAAGTGGCCCAAGGAGGCAGCCATAAATCACTCCTGGGTGCTCAACATCATTGCATCTTAGAGAACCCTAGCCTGGGCTCCCCTACCCACCACTGCCCATCACAGCTAGAAACTTACTTTTTTTAATTATCATTTTAAATCATGACCATATGTTTCCAAGAGCTGGGGCTTTAGGACAGACTACAAATATTGTGAGACATCATGAAATCCTGAGAGTTGGCAACACTGTAAAAAAGGTGGATTTCACTCAGACAGAGGGCAATCAAAAGTATAGTGGCCATTTATACAGACTATACCCTAAACTTAAAAATCACAGTTATTAATGGTATCCATATAGTTTTTCACCTTCTCTGTATAAAGCCAGTCTAATCCAAAAAAGGAACAAAAATTCCTATTGTAAAACTTGCAATCTAACATTAACCAACACTTTCATTAAAAGATATGCAAGTCATTTCCAGGAATGCTGCGAATTCATATTTAGCTTGAAATATGGATTGTGTAAGAGCCACGCGTCTGTAAAACATAACACCAATATAAATGCCTGGGGGGGTTGTTAATATTCTAAACCTTCCCCTTTAGTGTCTCCAAATAAGACTTTACAGCACTCAGAATCTAAAAGTGAAACAGACGTCACTGATTTTCATTGTCAGCTCGAGCGCTGTGCTCACTGTCTGGTGTCAGAAATAAGTCTAACATTGTTTTGTACCAGCTGACACCTGCTAATTGTTTGCAAATTCAGACTAGTACAAATGGCATTAAAATAATCTAAACTGAAGGAAACAAAGGCATGAGCCTCTGCAAAATCAGCAAACTCAATGGGAACAGAAACTGCACTACACCAAATCTGGGGAAGGGAAGACTTCATATCAGCAGACAAATACAAGTCTTAAGACAGGCTGCAGTTCAGCAGGACTCTTAAGTTAGTAATTGCAGGAGAAGGAAATTAAGTGGGTGACTGAGCTTTTTAGTTTTGCTAGTTAAGAGCCCTGTTCTGGTTACTAAAGGTAAACCGTCTCAAGCAGCTGAGATGTGAAATGTCGTGTGGAGCAAAATTTTGAGATCCATCCTGCAAACACTTAGACAATGCGGAATTTTGTATAGGTTAATAGTTCCATTGAAGTTAATGGGACTACTCATATGTGAAGTTAAGCACGAGTGTTGGCAGAACTGGAACCTAAATCTTCACCTACCAGGCTATCCTGAGCAGTACTATGCATGTGCAGGTGGCAAGACGTATGACTTACTGGGGGAATTAAAGCCATCAGGATGTTGCTTGCAGTTGAATAGGTAGGAGACACATTGAGAACAAACAAATGCACATACCAGCAAAACTCTTGGCGGGTAAGAAGAAATGGGTGATTAAAGGGACACTGACTTAAAAAGAAATCAATTTTTTCTGGATTTTTTTTAACCTAATCTTGTTACAAATAACCCGAAAACAAACCTATCAGGGAGACTTTAGAAGCAAATAAGGGCTCAGTTCTGCAAGATACTAAGCAGTAGATCCCTGACCCAACAAAGCACTTGAGCATCTGCTTAACTTTGTCCCACTATCAGTTGGGCTAGTCACATGCTTAAAGTTAGGAACATGCTTAAGTACCTTGCTAAATTGAGGCCTGTAGCTCTTAAAAAAAATCTAGCAGTGACGTTATTAACAGAAAATCAGTCACACAAGGCTTTTGTATCACATTAGCAACTTTCACACCAAATTCCACTACTCTCTCTTTGTACACTTTGCCTGCAGTATCCTGTATGCCCTAAACACTGCAGAGTAGCTACTAGAAGTATGCCAGGGAATAGGAGGTGTTTGATATCACCTCCATATTATTAAAAATTTTCATAACACAAGGCTGTCTGAAAAAACTCAGAAATGATAACTGCTGTCTTTTAAAATGTTGGATAATCTCTGCTCATAAAATATTCACACCGAAATATGAATTTCTAATATTTCATTTACAAGATTTGACCTTTTAACTCCTTTTTGAGTCTACAGTAGAGATTCAGTGTGTTAAACCAATGGTATAAATACCCTAGTAAATATTAAAATTCAAATGTTAAACCAGCAGTTTTCCCCTCCAAAAGTTGGTCCTGTAGTCCAATGTGATATTAAATCCTCTTCTCTGAGACTGAAATCAGTGAATATCATTAACAAGACTTGTGAATGTACAGAATTTAAAATTCTAAATTGGAGAGAGTATATTTGCTCCAATCGCAACAGTGTCCTCTACATCTACAAAACTGACACAAGGCCATTGAATGCAGTCAACTGGGCTAGCTCCACTGATGTCAAGGGACGTATGCGAGTTTGCACCCAAGGGACAAATTCAGAGGTGATATATAAAGTCTAATTTAGAATTGCTTGCTAGTCGAAGGGCCCTGATTCAAAGCCCACTGAAGTCAATGGAAAAAGTCAGTGGATGAGACTGTAAATTGGTGGAACTTGTATGCCAAGGAGCTGGATGAAGGTGAAAGGTAAAAACGGGTGGGGGCTACTTCAGCGTACACTTGCTACACTACTCATTCTTGTCTTTAGGCGCAAGCGATAGACCAGCTTAGAATCCTTACACTCAGTGAGCCAAATTCAGATGTCATGGGCCAGGAAGTAAAAGGTGTAAGTTACAAGGCAGTAAGTGGGTCCGAGTCTCACTCTAGGCATCTGAGTTGGTGAACATACATATTGGAGATCATTACACCAACTCTGACTCCCTCTTAGTTAGACTGTAAGCTCTCTGAGGCAAGGACCATCCTCTCCATATAGATCTATGTAATGTTTAGCACTGTGGGGCCCCAATCCTGACTGAGACTGCTAAGTGCTACCATAATACAAATAACTTCATCCAGCTCCCACTGAATGAAGCCAGACTTTTGTCATTGACTTCATGGGGAGCAGATCCATAGACTCCCTTCTAAATGTAGCTCTATACCTCAATGGCCTTGTGTCTATACCTCAGGCTATCAGGAAATCATCAAACCCCATTGCACCATTGGGAGCTTTGAAAATTGGAAAATTAGAATCTGATTGATTTCCACAGCTCAGAACGTCTTCTGAACAGCCATGGAGTCTTTGTAAAAGTTCAAACACCATTAACTCAGTTTCCATTTGCAAACAAGTGTCAAAAATATCTCACTTGTCCACTAAAATAAATCTGTGTAAGTAAACATAAATTAAAACAAGCAAACGAAAAAAACAACTTACTGCAGGTCCAATTATAACAAGGTGGATATGGGGCTCTCTTCTGTGCCACTCTAAAACACAACAGTAAATTTTTTTTAATATTAACAAATTATGCTTAATATTCTTACAATCACATACAGAGACTGGGCCAAGTCCTCCTCCCTTGACAACAATGGGAGCACTTTGCATGACTAAGACAGGTAGAATTTGGACAATAGCATTAGTGATAGTGTTTAAATATGGAAAGCAGATCAGATTTTCACTTCCAACATTCACACACAATATTCGATTCATTAACATTATTGAAGTTAGTGTTTCTTTTTCTTTCACTCACTCTGTTATGATTCAAGTGTTATTTTTTGTGATTAAGCTGAGGTATTATTTTAGAATAATTTTAACAGTGAAGCGTTTTACAGGATGCTGGTGAATGGAGTTACTTAATCAAGGTAGTTTGGATTCTTGTTCTACCTAAATGACCAGGACTTATTCTTACCATGAGCACCTGCATGTGGCCCCCAGGAAATGGTGCGGAAATGCAATGTTTTGTTGTTACCGGTGGAGGGAAAGAATAACTGCAAAGTCATTACAGTTGTATAGTGTTTGTAACTCTAGAATCTGAAAAAATGCCTCTCTTCAACGATTCCATTGCCAAAATAGGGCCCACTCATGTGAACACTTACTTGACTTTAACAGACTACACATGGTAATAAGCCCTCCACAGTATAGTAAGGGTTTGCATAATAGGATCAACAGAATAGTGGTCTAAGAGCTGTAGGGGGCTAAAATTTAGAATGCCTGGATTCCCTGCAGCCACAGTTCAAATCCTGGCAGAAGAGATTCATCCATTCACGCTTTTGACACAGCTAAATTGAGAAACATGCCATTTGCTGTGTATGTGGGTCTTTCAAAAGTGAACACCTAGTAAAAGGTATGACTAGCTTTGATATGGATGATCTAATCAATTCCAAAGGGTATGCGGTATGTCTAAACTAGGAAAATAGGTTGTGTTTTAAAATACGTTAGGCTCCCCTGTAGATTCACCACCCACAGTCTAACAATTTTCTTTTAAGATGTCAGACTTTGTCTATCCTTTAAAACCTGTTTTAAAATGTTTTAGCCGACCTTTTCAAATGTGGTCTATTTTCCTAGTTCAGACAGAGCTTAGAACTTTGAGAGTAACTTAGTGAATCTCATTGGCTGGTGCGATCTGTTTTCTGTATAATTATCAAATATATTGCTTTTTAATTGGTGTATCAAATTTCAGACCTGCCTTATTTTGGTTGTGCCTCACATGAACCTTCGTATCAGTGTTGGACTTTATACATCTTGATGTGAAATGTACCAAAAAGAAATACTGAGAACAAAAAAAGACACAAAGGATATAAACATTACAAATACAAATTTTTACTACTCTTCTCACCTCTGACCACCTCCCTCCTAAGCTGATCTGTTGTCATTACGTTCCACATTATATCTATTTTAGACCCCAATCCTGTTCTCGGTGCAGGGATTCTGTCTTATATGTATGGTAAGCCCTGTGTGAATTATGATATTGTAGTAATCATAATTGAAGGTGGAATAATTGTAAATCAATTTTCCAGTTAGAAAGGACTTTAAAAAAACTTTTGCTCTTCATTTAAAAAAACAAAACACTTTTCCAATCTACAAAATAAGTTAAAATTCAAGTTGGTCATTCATCTTTTTAGTTCATAATTTTTAGTTATATTTTAAAGTTTAATCTTGTTCTGAAGTTAAGAAATGATAGAATCACAGAAATGTAGGGCTTGGAAGAACCTAAGAGGCCCTGTAGTCCATCTCTCCGCACTGAGGCTGTATTAAGTATAGCTACAATGAACTGACCAAAAGAAACCCTTACTACTTCTCACTTGTCTCATGTACAAACCTGATGAATCTCTCTCTCTCTCTCTCTCTCTCTCAAAAAAAAAAAAAATAAATATATATATATATATATATATATATATATATATATATATACAGGGTCCTTGCCCATTCTTTGTGAGGGGAAAAATAATGAGAAATTGGTTTTACAGAAATCTGACAATGAATACAAGAAAAGTCTACTCGCAGGGGATACCGGACAAATTGAGTCGAGTGTATTCTGGCACAGAGTTTGGGGAGTTGTTTCTGTTCTATGATTACTTATATGGAGCAATCATTCAATAAACTGATATTTCAGCTAGTGCATCTCATTATCTTGGGTCAGTGAACTGCTTTATGAAGCTCCCAGTAATCTCAGACATGGAATACTCCGAAGAAGGACTATAACCTATGAAAGGCATCAGTGCTTCAGTTTAACAAAAAAGTGAAACAATAGAGTAGAGTGTAACAAAGCATAAAAGTAAACTTTTAGTTTAGACAATTACCTGATTCTCTAATGTAGAACAGAGACAAGTTTGGGATACTAATAACACCAATTTGAAAAAACGATTGAGATGTCTAAACTTAAAGTAGCAGATATCTGCAGAAGTCACAGCTCTGGCTCAACCTCAACATCCACTTCTTTTTGCTCCTGCTCTTGCATTGCGGAGCATCTCTGGTGGAAATCCTGTGATCACGTTGACTTCCTCCACTACAAATTTGTTCTCTCCTTCAGTTCTGCCATATTCCTAGCTAAATAATTTTACTCCTCTGATTTTAATTGAATCCAAACCTACAATCCCAGCTGCCTTTTTATCACCTTTGACTTATTCCTCAAACCCTCCCTTCCTCCTGCCACCACTTCTCTCTCTGCACTGGATCTTACCAATTTCTTGTCACAAGAAAACTGACAAAATACATTGTGAGCTTCCCCCATCAGTCCCCACCTTTGCCTCTTACAACTCTCTCCTCCTCCTCCCCTGCCACAGATGCAGCTGTCCTACTCTAACCCCTTCACTTGCTGCAGTGACCCCATCCCATCTCCTGAATTCCTTCATGCCCACTCACATCCCCTCCCTTCTCTTTAACCTTTCACTCTCCTCTGGCTCTTTCCCCTCACAACACAAGTATGCTTTAGTCTCTCCCATCTTAAACCTACCCAATGGCACTTGCCTCTCCAGCTACCTCTCCATTTCTTTTTCTCCCTTTCTTCTCTAAGCTCATCAAACACACACTTTACAATCACCGGAGTTCCTCTCTCCAGTTCCATCCTAGACCTCCGCAATCTTCCACTTCCTGCATTCCACACAAACTGCTTTTGCAAAGAATAACATCTTCCTAGCCAAAGCTTAGAACTAGTACTCCATCCCCATCATCCTTAACTTGTCAGCTGCCATGGACACCATCAATCATGCTCTTCTTGAATCCTTGTCCTTCCTTGCCTTCCATGACTCTGTCCTCTCCTGGTTCTCCTCCTACCTCTCTAATCACTCCTTCAGAGGATCCTCCTCATTTCCCACCCCCCCCTTCCAACTTTCAGTGGGCATTCCACAAGGCTCTGTCCTTGGTCTCCTTCTCTTCTTCTCCCTCTACACCTTATCTCTGGGTAATCTCATCTTCACACACAAATTCAACTTCCACCTCTATTCTGATGACTCACAGGTCTACCTCTCTATTCCAAACCTGTCTCCTCCTGTCCAAACTAAAACCTTGGCCTGTCTGTCTAATATCTCCTTGTGGATCTCTACCCTCAGCTCAGTCTTAACGTGGCTAAAACAGAGCTCCTAATCTGCCCTCCCGACTACCTCCTTTCTTGTTCACTGTGGACAACACCACCATCCTTCTTACCTAAAGCTGTAACCTCGGTGTCATCTTTGACTTGGACCTCCCTCTAAGTCCTTACATCCAGGTTTTGTTTAAATTTTTCAGATTATTTCTGCATAACATCTGTAAAATATGTCCTTTCCTTTCCAAACACACAGCTAAGGCTCTTGTCATCTTGCAACTTGATTACTGGAACTCGTCTGTCCTTGACAAATGCATTCTTGACTTACTCGTCTCCATTCAAAATGCTGCTGCAAAGATCATTTTCCTAGTCCATCACTTTGACCATGTCACCTCTTTCTTTGAATCCCTCCAGTGGCTCCCCCTTCTCTTCTGCATCAAACATAAGCTACTTATCTTCACTTTCAAGGCCCTTCACAGCATCCCCATCCTACCTATCATCTCGTTCACCACTGAAATGTTAATATTTCCACTTGTTAAATTTTCAAACAAGCACCTTCATGCTTTCTCCCATGCTTCCCATGAGCTTGATAAACATCTGCAAAGCTAACTCATTATCCTCCTTTTCTCTGATTCCTACAAAAAACTTGGTAACAGTTAGGCTGCTGGTGCAATGATACCGCTGCTTATCATGCTGATGTCTCATTGTTTTCTTGTACTCCCCTTTCTGCCTGTCAGTATCCAACTGTTGTCTCTTGTCATATACTTAGATTGTAAGCTCCTTGGGGCAGGAACTATCTTTGTGTTCTGTGTTTGCACAAGGGGGTACTGCTCCATGACTGGGACTTCTAGGTGGTTTGATACTATTACTACTAAACCATATCACAGATAAAAACCCTGTAAAAGCAGGTAGAAAATAAAGGAGATACTGATGAGCACTTAGTTTAAAACATAGTTTCTAGAAAGGCGGCCTTGCTTTACTTCTCACTGTGTTCAGCTAATGTTTTATGAAAGGCAAAGGCAGGGCTATGGGAGATGAGCAATGTGAGTCCTGCTCACGGTAATTGATGTCAACGGGCCCTAACTTTGGAATTGAATGGAAACTTTTTGTCACAGTTGAACTTGATACAGGAGTCCAAGTACATGAAATATGTTTGTTTGCAACCCTTTCTAGCGTTGTAAGAGCATCTCCCATGCTATGTGAAGAAACCTCAATTTAGATTGCTGCTTTGCTCTAAAAACGTGTGAAAAGAATTTTTCTTGTAACTTTAATAGTATTCCTTAGTACACCTGCAAACATATGTAATAACCATGACACAATAAGCCAAAAAACTTATTTTGAAATAGGTGAACTCTTCTTTCTTTTGTCTACTATGAATATTGCATGCTAGCAGCAAAATAATTACTCCCTCAACAAGCAAAAGCATCAAATATTTCTCTTTGATTGCAATGCTGTGTTATTCCCAGGAGGCAGGAAAAGACACAGTACAGAAATAATGTGTTCAAAAGATCAATGTTTATAGGAACACTTTTTAAAAACATAAATATATTATGAAGTATTCTGCAGAGAAAAACACAACTTACAGTAAAGTCATCAAACCCAAGAAATTTATCTGAATGGTGTTTGGAGGAAAAAACCAAACCCAGTGAAAATGCAGAGATATTTAAACAGCAGGGCACGTACCTGAAAATACATCCACTAAATAAAGAGGGTCCTTGACTCTTCTAAGTCCACATATCAAAAGAAACAGGCGTAAATTTTCTGTGTCTTGAGGGATCCCTGTAACACAATATTTTCAAAAATACCGAATGCAGTTAGAACAGTAAAATATCTTCACAACAATTGCTTCATGAGTGAGCATGCAACCTGTGCACTAATCCTAGGAATACAAATAGGGTGACATTTTTCAAAAGCACCCAGCATTGAACTAACTACTCCCATTGAAGTAAATGGGAGTTAATTTCAGTGGGAGCAGTTAGGTTTACACTGGGAGCTTTTGAAAACCCTACCCCTAATGCTAAGAACTGTCTATCTCTCTGCATTTCCTCAGCATCAAGCGCCTAATCCAAAGCCCATTGCCGTCACTTTCCAGCATCTTGATGAAATATTACTCTTTTTATGAATGGAAAAACTGATGCAGAGGTTAAATTTCTTGCTTAAAGGGAATCTGGGCCAGAGCTGGGATTAGTATCCAGAGTTTCTGGCTCCTAGTCCAGTACTCAGTCAACTGGACTGCATATTTTATTAATGCAATGATAAATTCTAAATGATAAAGCCAAGCAAATGCCCACAATAATGCAAATTATGTATAACTCATTGGGTGCAAGGTTGCGGTTGTTGTATTTGTTGTTCTTAGCCTGCAGGGAATGAAAAAAATACAACTTTGCTGTTATGTGATGTAATGCTCTAAACCTCCGATACTGCAAGTCTACATTTATCTATAGTTGTCCAAAATCTCTTAGCCAAAGCAGACTCCACTTCTTTCCATGGGGTATTGAGTATAACAGAGTACTCCAATTAGTTACGTTTACAGTCATACACATTCAGCACGGCAGTCTTACATTAAGACTCTATAGATTACAAGGAATAAATATTTATACTGTTTATATCTAGAATTAGTTTCAGTGGAGCAAAAGGCAATATTTTACAGTCTAGAATATTAAGGTCTGCTCTACCTTTATGTTAGGTCGACATCACTACCTCAGTCAAGGGTGTGAAAAATCCATACCCCTGACCTAATTTAAACCCCACTGTCGATACATTTATGTTAACAGAAGAATACTTCTGTTGCTGTAGCCACTCTTATTCGGGGAGCTGGTGTTCCTTCGTCTACACTATGGGTTTATCCAGGCAATGTAGTGTGCTGGTATAGTCTCCATAGTGTACGCATACCCTAAGTGATGTTGCAGTTAAATACCAACCTATGCAATCAAGACAACTTTAGTTCACTGATGAAAAATTTAGCATTCAAAATGACACTTATGGAAATGAATAATTCATCTGTCCCTAGAAAGGAAGATCTAGTCAGTTAGGGTTGATATTACCAGGGGGATAGAATGGAGAACTTGATAGTGTATAATCATATGAACTATATTCAAAATCCATGAATTTGGTAGACAGGCAGTAATGCCTAGTGCATAGCGAAAGTAACTGGTAACCAAAGGTTCTACTGCCAACCCTATAAGAGTGGAGGCAAATTATACAAATTCTCCGTGCCTCAGTTTCCCCAATCAGTAACATAGAGATCATATGTATTTAGGCAAGAACATGGCCCCATTTCAAGAGGGTTGTGAGATGTGAAGCTCTTCATGTTTGTAAAGAGATGTGAGTTCTTCATACGAAAGGAATTTCATAATAAGAGCAAAAATCTTACTATTGCTTCAGTTTCCAAAGCGGTATCTATCCTTTAAACATCCAAACTGTCACAGAATATTTAACCAGAATTTAAATGACTGCAAAGCACTTACTTTAATCTTAAATTTTCTTTGTAACACACTGACAAGAAAACCTTTTGAAGATAATGAACTATACCCTTCACTATTTATTGTATATCTTTCTGTTAAAATGAATCTGTCAAGACAAGTCCTCTCAAGTCGCACTTAAACTAACAGTCGGTACGTTGTGTGGATAAGAAATGCAAATTAAAAATAATTGAAAAATCTCAATGTAAAAAAAAAAAAGCACCCACACTTAAATGCTGCTGGAAACACACAGATAGGAACCATAAAATTCCATCGACTCTTGTTAGAATATAGTTTAAAAACTGACAATCTAATGTATGAGATTGCAGTTGCCTGGTTCTGCAACAGCACAATTACACTCAGAATGTAATTCTGGGGATGGGTCACCATGTGATGTACTTGGATCAAATGTGTTCACCGTAATTTAATATAATCCACAAACTGCTGAATGCATGTTCATAACAGAAACATCACTTAATCAATTCTTAGGGGGTGGTAGTTTCCATTTCCTGGCTGAACACTGCACAAAGCAGATCAATTCATTGTCCTTCCATGCACACGTTTATTGAGCCGGTGGCAAGGATAGCCAATATACCTAATAGTCGGTAAACCATTTCATCAAGTGCTTTATTGATGAGGTCATCTCTGCCCACATCTGAGTGTTTTAATTTTATTAAAGAGTTGCAGGTCTTTCGTGGATGACTGAAAAAATCCACACACACTGCAGGTGGTGGAGATAAACAGTTGCAGCAAATAGACTCTTCCGAGACAAAAAGATCCTGTGTTAAGTCAAGTGAGCTCTAGACTAGAAAGAAGAACATAACAAAAACTGAGACAAGACTGATGAATCAAAAAGAGTTTAAATCATTTATAACCGCTTCTGTGAAGCATCAAGTACCTTTATTGAAGGGAAACAAGCCTCTAAAACTCTCTCGGTAAAACAAAACCTCAGCCTTACATCCAGCTAATTTTACTGAACTGCTAAACTGAGCCTAAAAGACCGAACAAGATTGGCTTGGTATACATTTGCTTATTTCTGACTGTTGATTGATTTGGCTCGCATATTGCCTCATCACTATACAAACATCAAGGAATTTATCCTCTCACTATTCCTGTGAGGCAGGGAAGTATTATTATCCCATCTTAGGGTACGTCTTCACTTACATCCGGGTCCAGATGTAAGCAATCGGTTTTCTGAGTTCGATTTATCGCGTCTGGTTAAGACGCGATAAATCGATCCCGGATCGACCCCGGAAGTGCTCGCCGTCGACGCTGGTACTCCAGCTCGGTGAGCGGAGTACGCAGCATCGACGGGGGAGCCTTCCTGCCGCGTCTGGACCGTGGTAACTTCGGACTAAGGTACTTCGAATTCAGCTACGATATTAACGTAGCTGAATTTGCGTACCTTAGTCCGAAGTGGGGGGGTTAGTGTAGACCAGGCCTTACAGATGGGGAAATATTTAAGTGACTTGCCCCAGGCCATATACACGTCTGTGAGAAAGTCAGAAATTGAACGCAAATGTCCCGTGTGCTGAACCACAAGGCCATCTTTTCTTTCTGGAATAGCTTGTATATATCTACTGGTTCCCTTGGAACAAAAAGCATCAACAGTAGTTAAGAATCCTAGTTTATTTACACAAGGACAATCTTGTTTTATTCTTTGTCACGTTGGCTCCCTCCTCACACTTTCTGCTTTCCCAAAGATCCTGTAACTCTACAAGGCGATAGGAAATGGAATGAAGCAGCTTTATTTAGATTGATCCCATATTCATGATTTTCCATTGTCACTGAATGCTGTCTTTACGTGGGGGTTTATTCTAATCTCACTTAAAAAGGAGTAAATCATGAATAACTCCCCTGCAGTCAATGGAGTTATAATGGTGTAAAACTAGTATGAGATCTGAACTTGCATTTTGAAAATGTCATAAACAATCGGTTGTTCATGACATATTCAAGTGATATTGCATTTAAAATTAAAATCTAACTTGGGGATTTAAATGCTCATTTTCACAGCATTTGCTGTTGAGTCATTCTGATTTAATTTGAATAGTTTTAGCTGTCACAGAGCGGCTGCAGCAGACAAGGTAGATAATGATGCTGTTTATTGGGCCGAGAATAATTCATAATACACAATGTTTGGGCTAAAAAGGTCTTTTGTCTGCTTGATGCCCCATTAAGGCATTATGCTTTTAGGAGAACCAAGGCCGGTTTTGAGTCATAATCTAAATTTCCACAAAGCTAGAAAAAAGGGTCAGACTGTGAGTACCATAGCAAAACTCTGCCTGAATTTTAATTACATGTACGGCACAGATATTTGATTTAAATTAAGCTCTCTCGACCTTCTGATACTTTTTAACTTCTTTGGCTGCTGTGGATTGGAACATCAGGTTGGCACTAAAACTTCAGTCATACTGCAATGAGTATCCAGATCTCAGTTACCGTGAATAGAGAGTCCATCACAAAAGTTATGAAGATCCTTGGGTTTAACATAAAATCTGGCCTCAATAAAATCTAATATCCTTTACTTGTTTCTTCCTAGCTCTTAGCATCTTTCTTTCTGCATTATCTTTTTGTATTTATTTGTGTAAGTCATGTTTGTAAAGCAGTTTGAAGATGAAAAGCACTGCGGGACCAAATCTGGAAGGTGCTGAGCCCCCCTGTGGTAGGTTCTGGACAACCTCAACTCACAGGATAAATAATAATACTGAGAGTGCTTTTCATCAGTAGATCTCAGAGCGCTTTGATCCAGTATCCCCATGTAAAATGCAGGGGTTCTCAGGACAAATTTTTTGGTAGCCTCAGAGTGCGGCCACCAACTCTTGCTAGTGGCCGCTCTTGCACAGTTTCCTAAAATACTTAATTAGCTTTAGGAAAAACAAATAAATATGTGCATATACATGTCCAAATGATTGTAATGTATTTGTTGCTAGCTAGTAAGTCTGTTGTGAAAAGCGATATTAACAAACATACAAGTATCACTTTTCCCAGCAGACTTACTCAGCCCTGGATGGGGAGGTCAGGGGAGGCAGTTGGGGGGCTGGAGCCGGAAACCCCACAGCTGGAGCCTGGGCCCTGCCGCTGCACAGGCTGGAGCCCGAAGCCCCTGGCCAGCGTCTGCTGCTCCGCTACCCCAGCGCTGAAGGCTAAAGCCTGAGCCCCACTGCCCCTGGGAAGGTGGGGAATTCACTGGCTGCCTTCTCCTCCAGGTGTCTCCAGAGGGGGGGCAGGGTCCAACCCCTGCTGGCAGCCCCAGCAATCAACACCAAGGCAGTGCATCCAGGACTGCTCTATGAGCCCCTGCCCCGCCCTGCATCACAG